TAAAAATGTAGTAATTTTACAAAAAATTTTAACAGTGTAGCAATAATTGTTATCGATCATAAAAAGTACCTAGTGAAAATGGAGTTAAAAGCTCGCAAATAGCAAGGGAAAAAGAGTACAATGTGGGTAGTAAAAAGTAGAGGTAGTTTGGTTAATTAGTGCGGTAATTATATTATCTGCGTTCCGAGGAAATGCGTCGCTAATGACTCGTAATTGTTTGCTCAATTAGGCCTTAAATGTCAATCCGAACCAACCGTTAGTATATGTATAGGTATAACCACCACCTTGCATTATTGTTTCGTTGTCACCCGAAACAGGACCCTGTTTTCTGTGTTTTACTCCTAAAGCTATATATGTAGGTCTTAAAACACCTGTGGAGCTTGAAAACAAAGTCCAATTAACGTAGTGGTTAGGAGAAGAAACATTAATTCAATTACGACTCTACTACATCCTGCAATATAAATAAAACCGTAGCTTCGCGAGGCGTTAATAGAGACCTGATTAAACTTTGGATTTGTGGTCATCTTTTTTGATTCTCCACTCTAGCACTAGCAACATTCCATCCGCGGTTATGACTCATATTATTTTTAGCGAAACTACAAAAAATTAGATAGTTGTTATAGCAATAATTCGCTTAATTAAAAAACCATAATAATTATAATTATTATAATGTGTTTTTTGAGTCGTGTATACACTTAAAAGCAATTAATAAATATTACGGGAACGGAGGAAATGTTTTTATTAATTAAATTAATTATTGTGCATGAAAAACAAAACAAAGCTTGCTTGCTTATATGCTGTGGACGTTGAAGGTCAGCCGTTAATTTTATTTTATTGCTTTTTAAAAAGACATTTTATTAATTCCTGATTTTCTGGAATATTTTATTGAGCAGGCCGAAATACAATTATATCAATTAAAAAGTGTATAGGTAAACATATAAATTTTTAAATTGAAAAATGTTTTATTTAAGAGAGCCATTACGCGAGTCGGTTTGTTAGTTAGTTGGACAGATAGTCCAATTGAATTCCTGTTGAAGATATTCTGCCCTAATTAAATTAATTAAGAAAATTACGGCGAGTAAGAAGAAGAAGAAGAAGAGGAGGAGAGTAAAAAAAGAATGTAGTTGAAGGACGAGGAGAAGGCGAATAATAAAATTAAATGTTCCGCGGAACAATACGAGCGAGTGTGGCAAAAAACCGGCAGAAAATTGCCGGAGTAATTTGAAGAACGAAAATGACAATTTAGTTCGTTGTATTTGGCCCGACAAAAAGGGAATTCCTGCGAAATGCGCCTACCTCTGCTCCCATTATCTTTTTCCATTTAATTAAAACATAAAATAACCATATGACTACGTCTCATCGAATATTTCGCACACTTCGGATGTTTGTTTATCTTACCGACAATGTAATTAAGTCCCCAACTGGACGAATAAATACTCATGCCAACCTAATAAAAACAATTAACCACTCTTTCTAGGGTGGGAAGTTATCGACTTGAATGCCACTCTTTCCGAGAAAACACATCGCGACGATTAAAAAATTCTATTTAACAATTATTAACGTTAACCACGGTTTTAAATGTTACACGTTCGATACCGAAAAAAATGCGACAAAATCGACCATTAACATTTTTATTCTTATATTATTATCCGACCGACGATTATGATTAACTTGCTTGTCGTAACATGTATTCATTATTAATTCTATGCTAAATGCCTATAATAAATATTTTAACATTTTTCATAGAGGCTTTCGTAATGTCTCTTGATTATAGCCCTTTGCTAAATAACGCTTCTGCTGAGCTGATCACTTTTATGACAAACTGGATACGATACACTAATAACGTCTTAGTAGGTGCGCGGTACATACCTACTGCTTGCTAATAACAACATGTTTTATTTTTTATCAACTTAACTTAGTTTTGTTTCTGAGTTAATAATAATCAACAAATACCAAAACAAATATTTTTAATTAAGTTGTCCTTTTTCAAGTATTAATAATAATGCTAAAAATTATTTCATAAACGCGTATTACATAAAACTTAAATAGAGATAGTTTTGATATGAGATATACATAGGTATGCACTGACGATGAAGCGATTCCTATTGGACGGTTGGAATAATAATATAAAGAGTTAGGTATCCGAGTAAAATAGAGTCATTATGTCGGATGGAATTAAGTGAAGTTGTTTTAGTGAAGAGAGCGATTACGCATACTTAGATAATTAAAATTACCGACATTTTAAACGCTTGGAAAAAGCCGTTTTCAATCGTTATTTTTTTATTTGTTCGTCTTATGTGTGGTCTACAATGACTTCAATTATCCTCGGCGATGCATCGAGTGCTAATAGTTTTTTGGAATCGCATCCAAATTGCCTAACTGTGTAACCATCAATTATTTCTGCGGAAGTTTTCAATTTCCTACCTGTCTGTCTCTGTTTCCTGTTGTTTGGGGTTATCAAACTACACCCCACAACCCTATGGTTATGTTATACTTGTAATCGATTATCTCTCGAAATGACATCAACTAATAACCGCTGCCAACCACCTAATGAGGTTTTATTGCCTCTATTTGTTGTGACAAGCGATCTTCATCATTGACTGAATTACGTACCCATCAAACGATAACAGGAGAATCGAGAGTAAAATTGAAATTTTTCGATAACAATATTTTTTTTTTGGTCTTAAGCGGCCGGTTGTTTTCAAGTCCTTTTATCTCACCAACATGTTGTTTAATGTGTAAGACTTGTTGCCAGCTTTTCGATTAATTACCGTGCTAACCGGCTTTTTTCTACTTTTATCCACTTCTTCGACAAATTGGCGCTCGCTCTTAACCATGACTGCTTTATTTATATTCCTTATATATTCTATAGAACTGCATGCTTATTTACTACCTACTTATATAATCGGAGATTATTAATTTACATTTTTGTTTGGTTATGAACCCATTAAAATAAGTGGGTATACATGATACCAAATGTAAAATAACACCTAAATAGTATATTGTTTAGGTAGTATGTTTATTTTTAAAACTTGTTTTGGTTCATCGAGAGCAATTCTCGGAAATTCGCGGCGATCGACTTGGTCTTTTTTTAAAATACTTTTTCTGTCATGTGTTTCTTGTCATCGCTACAATTCCAAATAATAAATGGACCACTTTCGAACCTGCCAGATTATTATTCTCTTTATTTACTAAATTCTTATTATATTTTATTTTTGATTTAAAAAATGTAATGCATACATGCACTGAAAAAAAAGGTGCCCCTATGGTTACTGTTTTATTTTACAAGCACATAATTTATCGTTCTGCCATACTTATAGTTATAACTTATAAGTAGGTATATTTCAATTTAGCATAATTAACGTTGATATAGCATTATATCGTCTTATATTTACTTAAAAGGTGTTTAAAGTAACATTATAATATAGGTATTATGTAAATCATTATTATCGTATTAATGTTAAATCTTGATCTAACACATTTATTCAGCGACTAATGTATTTTTATTTTCCATTGTATTTTGATTTAAAATGTTAAAATGATCAAGCACAACATAAATTTCCGTGTTGGCGTTTCCGCTCAAAATCCAATTTCGTCCTGTTTTCGAACCAATAATTAGAGAGATAGCGATCGGGAATTAATCCTCATTTTAATTTAGGAAACAAATAGGAAAACTTAATTTCTTAAATAATTAAAAGCTAATTTCACGGTCCGAGGCACTTTTCATGACCGTGTACCGAATAGTTCTTACAATTAAATCATTAAGTAAATGAGATTTTTCACGGTGAAGTACCTACTACTGTTGTACATTCGGAAATAAAATAATTTGCCCATGGGCAACAACTAGACATTTAGATTGACATTAAAAAACAGCAGATTTTTAAAAATAAATAAAATGGTAATAAAATCGAAAGAGCAGACTGCAGCGTGTGTGACGTTTAATATTGGTGAACAGGTTTAGCGAGGGTATTAAATATTGATTGAAATGGTCTAATGGATCCGAGGATAAATTATTAATTAAGGTAATAAGATTATCTTCGATATTTTAACGCTACATTATGTTAATAGCATCATGAAAGATGAATAGCCTGATTGGACGGTAAATATCGTCTCGTAATTTAAAAAAGTGTATGTAAATAACGTTGCCTTTGATTATACTCAGCCGTTTTTAATTAAATAATGCCAATTTTGTCCGCGTACACCGTCATTTTGCGCCGCTTTCAACAACGAAAAAACTGCATTTTCAAATTATAATTGGACATTAAAACAATGTACGGTAATTTTGCTGCCTAAGTAGTTTTACGCTTTAATAGCGTAAACTTCAAATTAAATGATACGTTGTTTTTGGCTAAAGGTGAGATTTTAATATCGGTTATTAGCCATGAATTCGATCACAACTTCTTTTTTATTATTCTTTTACTTCATTTTACCACCAATTTTAATTTGATTGGATTTCATCCTTTTAGATTTAACAAATTTTTTTTGTTGTAACATGTTTACATTACTTACTGACATGAGGGCAGTTGCCCCCTGTTAAATTAAAATACCATAGGATTATATTCCTTTATTTAAAGTTTATTTAAATATTAATACTTAGATACTTAATATTGCACTTATATCTGCTGAAAAAATCTGAGATCGAGATTTTGAAGCCGATCAAATCCGATCAGATTCGATCACGTTTCTGTCTCGTGTCATATGTCATGTTATGACCGGTTATTTGTTTAACCACCCATCCCTAACTCACCTCCACTGTTTTATATTACAATTAAGTCGTTTATATTACAATTGTAGTGAGAGACAGTTATTAAAAAAAAGGAAAATGCCATAGGCCAAGAAACGGTACAGAAGATGACAATTTTATCTTTTAAACGAATTTTACCCTAACACAACACAAGCGAGAGATTGAATTTGTTCGTATCTGATAAGTTTCGAATATAATAAATTTTTTTAATAAATAAAAGGATTTTTGCGAGACTTTGATTTAGTTTGACCTCAACATGTTGTTGATTTTAGAATCCGTTCCCGAAAGTGAAGTAGGAAACCCGGAGACGATGGGAGTGTCTGAAGAGATGACCCCGAACGCCGGCTCCGAGCCGAGAGCCGCCTCCCAGGTGGCGGAGCACAGCGACCAAAGCGACCCGGAACCGGACGAATTCGCACCGAAAAGAAAACAGAGGCGATACCGGACCACCTTTACCAGCTATCAGCTCGAAGAGCTGGAAAAAGCCTTTTCCAGGACGCACTATCCCGACGTGTTCACCAGGTTAGTAACCACCACCCTATTTAGCTATATATATGTACCTTGTTAAGCCCGTGTTGCGTGTTTCTCGGCAATTACCGAAAAATAATCGAATTGCTTTAATAATAACAATAGGCAGAGGCAGTAGGCAAATTGATGAAACGAACCTAGCGCCAATTGAATCGGAAAATTGGTGATCGGCAGGGGGCTGCCGAACGATAAACGGCCCCGAGGAAATTACCTGTTATTACTTTATTTAACCGGAAAAAATTCACAGGTGCTGCCAGCTGAAATTATTAAATGTTCCGCTCGATTCCACTATTCCTTATTGGCTCGGTTAGTGGGCTCCAAAGAATTCACTAATTAAATTCACTTTACGACGTGTTAATGCATGAAAACAATAAAAATGATCTGCACTTAACTGGTTCTTCGTAAGCACCAATAACATTCCTTTTAACTTTTGTCATATTTTTATGTGTAACACTTGTTCTTAGAAGCAATTCATCAGTTAATTAGATTTGCTATCATCTGAAATCTCCATAATCGTTTTTGATAGTGTTCTACTTTATCGACTGAGGCTCGCGGCGCGCAATCTGCAAAAAGTTTCATATTAATCAAAGTTTGTACGAACGTTGATTTGATTTAGAATGTAATTATACGAAGGAGAAATCCAATTAAAGTTTTGCTTAATTTTCATTTTAATCACTCTAATTACACAAACAATTTACATAATCTAATTATTGGTGCTGAGGTAAATGCCGCCACCGCCGCCGATTTAACTCTTATTTCTTAATAATAATAGGTACTGCTAAACTGGTTGGTTAATTCGCTCCAATATTGCGTGCCATGATGCCATTACACACCAAATGACATAATAATACCCTTCCTTTCTTTCTTCCTTGCTTGCTTACCTACCTATAGGTATACCTACCACGATATCGATATTTACTTACCAACGTTTACAGTAGCAGAATGGATTTTCACAAAACTCACAGGTCTATTTCATCCTTAAATATTTATCTACGAAATAAACATAAAATCCCTATAAATCAACGCCAACCTATTAAAGAATTAAAATAGATGTGGGAAGTTTACTAATCGGTTTTAATATTTAATAATTTTACTGTATGGTTTTGATATTGCGCTACCAACATTTATTCTTTGAAATCGATTAGGTTTGGAATGAAATTAATTGCATGTTTGCGGTTACAGAAGTGACGGTTGTGAATTTGTAGAAGAGCCTCTGTGAGCTGCACTAATATAATAAATCGCAGCAACAGTTATTTAGTTCTCGAGTAATGATTTATTTCGACATAAATTCATTCGTATGCATCGTATCGAGAGGATTAAGCTCGAGTCGACTCGACGAGTCACTCACTCTCAATTCCTATCAAATTAACAGGCTGCTCATAATCTCGATTTTAATTTACATTATTTATTATTCACTTATGTAGGTATAAATACCAATAGGATTATCCACGTCGTTGTTTCGCTTAATTAAATTAGTATTTGCATAAAATTTCAAATTTATTGCTTTCCATTTGAACGCCGACTATACCTATGTAACTACTTATAGGTTATGCCTAATCAATTTTTATCAAACATATTTTTGATTTGTTTTGCCGCCAAAGCTATATAACAAATAATTAATTTTATACTGGTAATCCCAAGGATTATTAAATACATCCTAATTATGTATACTTAAAATTAATTAAAATTACATGTAACATCTTAATCTGCAAATTGTGAGTTTTTAACAAACCTAACGTGAGAATTGAATTAATTTATTGTTCTTAATTTGTTTTTATTGTTTTATAATTTTTTATATACATGTATATTTTTTGCAAAAATACAAATAAATCTGAGATTTATAAATTCAAACCGGACATGCCGATAGTAGGTAACCAATAAAAAATACTTGGATTTTCAAGGTCGTTAGTTGGCAGTTGTTTTAAGAGAAAGTAAAGCACGCATCAACTTTTGATGGATATAGGTAGGTACTAACTAACTGGCCTTTGGTGGTTGTTATCAGCTGGTCTGCCGACCATGGTCTGTTGTGTCTCTGCCTAAAAATTCGAGTAGATATCGCGTCTGGCTCTGGCTCTTTTTAATCAGGCATTCCGAGATGTCTGCAATTTGTTCCCTGGCACTATATAACAGTTACTTACCAACCAACCAACCAACAAATTATAATTTTGCAAGCACGCCACTGATCCTATTTGTTTTTAACCTATGCGGTGTTGCACGTAATTACCGAGGATGGCGTGATTGCCGATTTCCTGGACTCGGAGATTAAATTAATTAATTTAATTTGTTTGTATTCATTAATGTCTAATACAATATTACATAGAGTAGGTACTTTATTAAGTTTTTATTTCTGTATGTTTACATAACTTTCTTTTTATTGTTTTAGGGAGGAATTGGCAATGAAAATCGGATTGACAGAGGCAAGAATACAGGTAATATTTATTTGTATTTTGTTTTTTTAGTGTTTGTATTACATTCTAATTACATATGCATTCATTTAATGCAATTAACTCCAAGATAATCCTTTCAAGGTCGCGTCATAATGTTATCACGTCAAATTTCACGGATTAGATTTTACAACGTGAAGCGGCTTTTCTCTAATTAATTTGTGCTTTTCGTTTAATTAATAAATAACGTTACAATACTTGTGAAAAATACATATTTATACTACGTACTTTAATTATTGCAAAGTTATTGCGCTACGTATGAACATTAATTATATCTACATAATAAATATGATGTTGAAAAGTGGCTCGGCAACTCGCACAGTGAGGAATTTTTTTTCATTTAAAATAATAATTCGCACAACAGTTCATTTTTTTATTTTAACTCGTGTTTTTTTATTAAGATGGTAGCCAGTTTGATTTAGTATTTTTAATATTTAAAAAATGGTACTTCTGCTGAAGACCTTAATTAAATACTGTCAATTGACAGTAATATTTAATATTTAATTTAAATTGACAGTAATATTTATTATTGACTATTTCCCTCGTCTTAATTTCCACCAATCACAAACCCGCAATTTTGAATTAAAAATGGTTTTTAGGTAGAAAAACTGTATGACAGCACCTGTCAGCAGTTTTTTCGATTTTACCCGCGACAAAACTTGACAGCTGTTGTCACCAAAAATTGCAATTTATATTTTAATTGTTAACTGTTACACATGAAATAGTCTTGTCAAATACCATTCGGGCATCTAATTTTTCCTGTGAAAAAAATCGAAAAAACACAATGCTAAGTAATATTTTTTAACAAAATGCATTCGTGCAGGTGCAAAAATCCTCGTCTTCGACTCGTATTTTTGTTGCCACCAGCACTCATGCTTCTTGTTAAAATATTACTTAGCAACGTGTTTTTTCGATTTATTTCGGAAAAATTAGATGCCCTTATGATATTACTTACGATAATTTACTTGTTAATTATTATATAATATAGATAACTATGGAAAAAATAATATCAGATTCTAAAGAAAAAGAACTTGGGCAAAACGATGAAGTTTTCTCAATGGCAGAAAAAGTACATCGCCTTATGGACATTTTTGGAGTAAAAAAGTAAAATTTTTGGTTTTACAAATATTAAATCACACATTATTTTCAGCTAAGTAGATAAAAAAAAGGGGGAAATTAAAAACAGAAAATAAAAATTATTTTCATGTCTCTGAAAATAGCATCCATTTGGTTTGGCAAGAAAACAATAATTTTGAAACTTTTTCTTCTTTCAATTCAATTTCAATAGTCCTGGACCATATACATATACATTATAGTTATTATTAAGTCACTACAAGGTTTAACGTCCAGTGGCTTTAACAAAATACCCATTCACCATTGGAGTCTAATGATTGGACAACATTCACGTGTGTTCACATACAATTTTAATATATAAATCTTATATAAATTCTTTTCAAAGCGAATATTATTATCCGCTAGGAATACTTTGTCTCTCCTGGGCCGTAGTCACCTATATTTAACTACTTTTTATATGATTTTACTCATTTACGCACCACCAAAGCCAAAGCCAAATTAATTGCATTTTTTACTACGAATTTTGACAACTCAACTTGACAACCGTTCAATGTAACCCACAATAATTTAAAAATCCACAATTACATTTATAACTAGTTTAGTTTTTTTAATGAATACAACCAATTTTGGTTCCAAATTTACCAACCAAAACCCTAAATTTGCAACGTTCTGTCCTGATAAAAAAAATGAACTTTACAAAATGGTTAAAAAACTGTATTTCAGTAAATTAACTACTTCCCTACAAATATTATCGTAGCCGAGAAAAATTACCAGTTATTTCCTTAGAGTGTAAATAAATCTTAAAGCGATCAACATTGTTAATTTAATTTCCTTTTTCGGAATATCTTTGAACTGATCAATTGCTATAATTATCGACAGTAATTGGACAAGTTTCTCGCAGTCTCTTCTTTTTCCACTGCGACTGTCATAATTGTATCATTTTAATTTAAAAAATAATTGAAAAAGTTAATTTTTTATTTAGTTGAACAATGTGGATTTTCAAAAGATAAGAAAGGAAAAGAAAAAGAAAAACATCTTGCACGGCATAATGACGAACGGGTAATTGTACACGCAACCAAAAAATAAATGGATATCAATTACGTGGTTGTTTAGGTACGCAATTGTTTTTACAGACCTCTATTATAATTTGTTTATAATAGGAATTATGTCCCTAATTTTAAATTACTTTAATGTTTTCAGTGAATTGAAATTTACTTAAATTAGTGTAATTTTCTGTACATTAAACTGCTGCGACTTTTTGCTTTGTAATCTCCTCTAATGTACGGAAATGTTGTTTTAAATTGTTTGACTCTTTCTCTTTTGTTGTTTTTTTTTCAAGAAAATTGTGTTTTGTCTAAGTGGACGATTTTAATTTGCAATTAGAACAAGGAGCAATTTCTATTTTTTTACTTATTATAATAAGTAATAGTTTATTGAGAAAGTTGACCATTTTCATGAGGAAGAAATATTCATGCGAATGAAAAATGTCCATTTGGAAAGAGTTCAAAACACTATACTATTATAAATCTGACAAATGTTCTAATCAAAGTTTCTCCCAATTTATCAATTTAATTTTAAGAAAACAATGAACCGTCTTATAATCGTCATAATAATGATAAATTTGACTGTGAATAAAAGAAAAATCTCTTCGTCCCAGTGGACGGTAACCCGTGGAGAGAAGTAGAGAGAGAAGGGTCGTATTATAATAAATAATAAGATAAGGTTAGGCACACACCTGTTGAGTGTGTAAGTGACAAAGGAAGAGGGTCATTTGGTTCGCCGCCGCCGCTACTGCTGCTTTTTTGGACACTCTTGTCACGGACCGACAAGCCAGGACAGTCATTATAAGTACTTATATAGAGATAGAGGTATAGGTTCTCTAATTGTGAAAATTACACGTCTACGTCCACTGCAGTAGACTTTGTTTCGAAGGAATATTCCGAAAGGTTTTGCACAGCTCAACCTACCTACCTACCTAAACTAAATACATATTTATGGGACGACCTTTAATTAAAAAATATTAATTAATACATGTATTTTATTCAAACGGAGGCACGCAAACGATGATAATGATAAATTCGTCGGGCAGATGTAAGATTTAATTTATCTAATGGGTAATTAATTTACTTGAGATTTCAAACAAGAGGAATGTACCTACACTTTTATTAACATAAATTAGCCGTAATTTCTCTCTTGCATCTCAAATAAACTACACTGGTATTCAGATTAAGATAAAACTGTTTGATGTTTTAACGCTCGATGCGATTTTTATTACTTACTTTAAGTAGGTATATATACCTATTTTATTTATTCCTTTCGAATTGTTTAAGATATCAATACATTTAGAAGCGTGTTCATTATTTCCATTTATTTTTTAACTAATTTCAATTAATTGTACAGATTAGCAATTAAATACCTGCATATAAATAATTGAATTTCTTGTTCCTTGTCGGAAATCATAAAAATTTATGAGCGAATAATTAAAGAACAAATAAAATATAAATTAATTTGACCTTAGTGGTTGAAAATGTATTTTCGTTGTGTATTTTATTGTAGTAATTTAAATTTAATATTTTTGTTGAAACTTAAAATGAAAAGTTTTCAAAAAATAATTATTTCTTAATTAATTGCAGAGGAGCTGCTAAAAAGTTTGAGAGGAATTACTTGCTATAGCTTATTACCTTTACATGTCTCATTAATTCGTATTGAAATTAATAATTTAATGGGGTCAACCCATTAATTATACCTACCTGTACTGTATGTGGGCAAATTAATATCGATAAAGACAACATAGGTGGAACGAAGATATTAAACAAATAAAACAAAGGTACCTTTGTTTGTTGTATGTCCTTCAGTCCATAAACAAATTGCAGTTTTTTGACTAGACAACGAAGTAGATACCTAACAATAAAATTAACTCGACTTTTTATAATTAAATTATATCTAAATTGCATTTTAATTAATGGAATTATACAATTAAATGTTTATACAAAGGAACGACGTGATGTTTATAATTAAAATTTGTGACATTTCTTACTAAAAAATCAACCAGCGGAACACCTCGAAGGCTACGGACCAGGGTTGCCAACCGTACAACGTTTTAAATAGTAAAATGAACAATTGAACGCGATAGGTTTTAAAAAATGTTGGTTATGTTTATGTAGTTTAAAATAAAATTTGTCTTAATTTTTGAGTCACTTAGAAATTCTGTCGAGTTGGTAGACCTGTAACGGTTGGCAACCTAGTACGGACTCGCAGACTTTGTTTTTTAGTTAACTGTTTTATTACATTTTATATTTAAAATGTGTTAAGTTTTATGGTCATGTCATTAAGGAATTATTATGTAATTGACATGGCGCTAAGGCAATAGAAAAAAAAAATGAAAATAAATGTATCCGTCTGTGTTGATTCCATTTGTGGCTGTTAAAATAAATTGGATAGTCGACGGACGGAGTGGCGCAAGGTTCGACACGTAAGGCGTACAAAAAGCAGGCAATTATCGGAAGACGATATCATTAGCTCTACCTGCCAAGATCACTTTGTCAGTTTTATAAACGAACAATATCGCCGTGAAATTCGACTATCGCACGAAAATGAGCTGTTCCATAACTCATTATCGATTCCATTCTCTCCCATTTGACTCGCTGACTTGCAGACTGTCTCGCCTAGGCATAGATAACAAGACACTCATCTCCTAAATTACCAATTACTAAAAATACTACATTGAACATTATACACAGAAAAATATGTCAAAGCTTTTTTTAATATAACCTAGGTTATATTAAAAAAATCGACTTTTGCTGCCTTTTGAGCGAGTGGTGCTACACTTGCTCCGCTCGTGCAGCAAACTTCACACTCTTTAGAAATCGCGTATAAATTATGGTAAGATAGATGAAGTAAAAGAAGAAGTCATCTTAATCGAATGCGGCTCGAGCGGCTGGCTGTGATTCTATCGATGAAAATTAATTGGCTGCCGTATACGCAATATTATTGTTATCGCGGTACCATCGTGATTCGACTGTTTCTCCCATCGACCGTTGTTGTATTTTTTTCTTTGTTTCAACTTGTAATGGACTTTAATAAGTAATTACAGCCGATTTTTTTGTTCGGTCATCTCCTTTTGAAATATAACCAGTAGTTAACTAAAATTAATCGATCGGCTATAATTAAAAATTCTTTAATTATTATTAAACATGAGAAATTACGAAAAAGATTAATGACCATCTGGTTTAGCCTCGGTCGGCCAATGACAATGCAATGTAATTTAAACTAATCCAATCAACAGGCGGCTATTTATGCTCAATCTTTTGTGTGGTCTTTAAATTTGACGACCAACTAACAACGTATTCGTTTTTACCTACCTACATAAATTAACAAACAACATTATTTTTCGCGTTATAATTGCCAAGATCTAATCTGAATCGGCGGTAAATTATATTACTTAATAAACTAACATTTCTCATGAGCGCAAGTAAATTATTATTATCGAAAGCATTGAAATTATAATTGAATTGCTCACTTCCTTTACAGTTCTATGAAAATTTCATTATGCTTAATTATACAATTATCTTTTTCCAATAGTTTTGCCTGTCTAATGCATAATTATAACAAATCTAGGTGCACTTTTTGAAAGGCCCTTAGAATCTAAATCCGAATGCATCGCTAGAAGTTACCTATAGGTATACAAAGTTGCAAAATTATTATATTCGCGTTGAAAAATTACCAACACGTGTTTAATAATTAAAAAGTGGTAGTTAATTTAGTTAATTGCCTGTAATAAAATTAGTAACTAGTGTTATTAAATTTTTAAATGCTATAGTATAAGAAGAAAAATGCACGTTATTTTAAATTGTTTGCGTGTACATTTACCGTTTGCACAAAAAATGTAACAAAGAAAATTTGGCAATTAAATTGTAAGTTATTTAAATTGATTAGACAAGTAAAGGCATGGAAGCATGACATTGGTGGTACCTACCTATGTTTAATAGTTACCTATATCAGTTTGTATTGTAAGTGGGTAATTAAGTCTGCTTAAACCAGCCCAGCATTTTGTGACAATGTTCAATGCTAATGTGCCCTTTGAAAGGAAACTCATTTCGATGTTAATGGTTAAATGGAAATTAATTTGCATGCCTATTAAAATAGTTTGAAAGTAGTGTAAAGATGAGAAATGTGCACACAGTGAGGATTAAAGTCAGGGGCGGACCGTGAGCACCGGGCCCCCTGCCGCTCCCGAAATTAGCTCAATGGAGTCGTGCTGAGCAGCACCCCAGCGCGCCCATTACACACAAACTAACATATTGTTTCAAATTTACGCGGCCCTTTTAAACAAACCCAAATTTAAAAGGAACCCGTCGAGATTTTTTAATTTAATTAACCATCACCGTTTGACGATGTGCCTTTGTTTTCCTTCCCACAACACATAAATAACCGCTTGGGTTACAACTTGACGTGTGTTTTGGTTGTCGAATTTCTTTTGAAAAGTTTTAAACGCCAAAGAATTTGTTTTTTATGCGGGCAGCGCCTTTGGGAAAAATGCAAAGCTGCAAAAATTTTAATTATATTAAGTTAATTTTATTATGTTATAAAACCGCCGTTATCGATAATTCGCAATTAATGCATAGGTATCGTTGTCAATTAAAATACAAAGTCCATGCGCGCTCGTATAACTTGGTTAATACCTACCTACCGACCGACCGACCAACATTTAACATATTAAGCCTTTTTATGGCGCTTTTAAATATAGATTAACTCGTAAATTTTTAATTTTAAATTGCTCAGCATTAATGACTCTCTGGATTAAATACTGTAGGGCCTTAATTGATTCGCATAAAACGCAAACCACACTACCAACATATATCTACCTATGTGTGATGATTAGAAGAGTCAGTGTAGTGTTAACGATAGTGTAAAACGGGTATGAAATATGGGCTGGGTATTGTAGTACCTAATAATATCTAATAACAGCGATCGGGCGCAACTTTGAGCTGTTCTACTCTTATAAAATAATTGCTCGAGCATCGGGTCGCTCATGAATGAACATTTCGCGTAGGATATAATTTAATAATAAATAATAATACGTTGAGTAAACCCGCATAAACACTTTATGCTTCACCTGGACGTTTTAATCATTTGTTTCCTTTTATTATAAAAATATTAAGCAGTTAATTAGCCTGTATAATTATCATAAAATGTAATTTATGAACTTTAAATACCGCCAATTACAACTTTCGGTCTGTAATTAACATCTAATTACGGCGCAGGTTTTCATATTTCATCGCCTCTCCTGCTAAACAAATACCTACTTAGGTAGAGTTGCATTTTTTTCAGCTCCTAACAATAAAATAAACGCCCACGGCAGATTACTTGCCTAACTAAATACTTAGTGTAAATTGCCTTAGCTTGATTTGAGATTTTAAAAGGGGTAATTCGAAAAAAAGCTGCATACAGCGTTATTTATTTTATTGAAATGGACATTGTAAAAACAGCGGGACCGGCATTATAGCTATCTTGAGCACGCCACTCGTTCCAGGAAAATATCTCGCGTCATATTGGTCAAAGACATGCACATCAACTTGACTGTTATTTTTTTTTAATTTAAATTAATATGCTTATATAGAGGTACAAAATATATCTAGCCTTGGCTCGTTCAATTTGGTAATTTAAAATTAATAGATTAATACTTTTGGGTGAAGATCATTTATCATAGCCGCAACGACCGTTCGAGTGAGTGAGTGGAAAATTAAATTGGAAACAATATTAATTAGCTTATACTTTAAATTGTTTCCCAGTAAAGTGAGGCTACAACCGTTTTCATGCCTAATTAAATAAGTAATGAATGCCCTTTGAATAATCGATATTTGTCAAAAACAAAACGGCCTGATTGATAACCTATGTTTTTCGTTATTAATATATTGTTTAATTGCTTCAGGTTTGGTTCCAAAACAGAAGAGCGAAATGGCGAAAACAAGAGAAAGTCGGTCCAGCTGGCCACCCGTACAATCCGTACCTGAACCCGGGCGGGGGCGGCGGCGGGCCCGCTCCCTCCGTCGTGCCGTCCACGCTACCGAACCCGTTCAACCTGCCCTTCGGACTGCGCAAACCGTTCGACTCGCTGCCGTTCCGCTATCCGCCGCACGTCATCCCCGGCTACCTGCCGTCGCCGCCGTCCCCGTACCACAGAGGAGGCCCGCCCCTGCTGCCGCCTCACTCCGCCTCCATCGGCCTCTATCCCTCCGCCAGCAGCTTCCAGACGTTGCTGGCCAACATTTCGGCCGCGCAGAGGGGACCACCGCACTTGCAGGCCAAGCAGGAGATGACCGCCTCGCCGCCCCTCTCGCCGCCTCTCACCGCCGGCGGCGGAGGCGGATCCACGCCCCCGCAGGAAGTCGACCGCAGGAGCAACAGCATCGCATCGCTCAGGCTCAAGGCGAGAGAACACGAACTCAGACTCGAAATGCTACGACAAAACGGTGATCTGATTAGTTAAAAGATCTTCATCTTATTATTTTTTTAAATACCTACCCACTACAGTTGCATCCCAACGTATGTACATATTATCCCAAATTGGGAATACAGCTTGTACAATTTTTTACGTAGAAAGGTAATGTTATACCCAACTCCGAAACTATTTACTGTAAGCCTTACAGTGTGAGGTATTTTTTAAATTTGTTTTGACAGTAAAAAATTACTTTGTGCAATTGTGAGTTTATTTTTACTGTGATGCAATTTAATTTCAACCATTTCCACTTTTTATAATAAGTTTGTTATATTTCTTTGTAAATAATTTAAATACCTACCAGCTAAGATTATTTGTAATTAGTACCAAGGTATTACATTAATTAGGAATTATTGCAATATTTATTAATAAACAATAATTGTGAACCGTAACGAATCCGTCCTATTGTGTACTTAATAAAAAATATTTTATAAAAAATTTTGCATTTTATTTAACAAGACGCAACTGAATAATTCACTGCCTGTAAAATTTTCTCATTACCAACATGTTATTATGTATAAGGTACAAGATAAGAAAATTTAAATCATAAATGTTTTTAATTACGGATCGTGTAGTGCTCAGCTCTGCTTTGCTCTGATCTTATTTGATAAGGTTCAATTAATCGAGTACACTATTTTATAGGAGCAGAGCCGCTGCTCGTCCACCTTAAATATTAAGAGAAAACCAGCCATATATTTAAAGGTGCATCCACCCCATTTATATTGCCAAAGCTAATAGACCGACGAAAATAGTAGCCAAATTTTGGGTACCTATATTTATATTGATATTCTGGTTTATCTTTTGCGAAATTATTCTAAAAAACTCAAATCATCAAATCTTTTATTAAACGTTTAACATGTTAATGCAGTTAATTAACCGGTCCTGCTAAACTCTACTTTTAATAATTAAACGAATCATTCGTTCATTTAATCATTACTTTGGTGGACCTTTATAAATGCAAAATACTTGGATCGCAAAATTAGCAATTGTTAAACGGAAAAGTTTTGATCTCAACCATAATTTTCTTTATCTCAAAACAATCTCTTAATGAGTTTTACCGTCGTATAGGTAGGTAGGTAGGTACATTTAATTACGAGTTTTTTCGCTTGATCTTTAACTTATAATTTAATATAAATTGAGTTCGCCCTATATAATTATCAACTTATTGGAGGTAGTAATTCACCATGTAATTATCTAAATTAATCAGATTTCGATACTCGGCAGATACTTTTTTGTTTTTCTTTCTTGTTAAATGACAAGTTTTATTTACTACAAGAAAATGATTTGTATAAAATAATGGTATATTAGATACCCTTATTATAATACAATTAAAAGCAAGCAAGATGGACGTGAAAGTAAACGAGGCAGAAATTAATATTGTTTAAAACCGATCGGCCCCTTTTATACACCTGCTAACTAGATCTTAATATATTTCTCATTATTTATTAAATTAAAAATATCCATCAGCGGTCCATGATTAATTTCGTCTGCAGCAGCGAGACAGGCCGGACCGCTCGCTTCTGATGAGTTCACGTTTTAAACGGGCATTAATTTTAATTATATAATTGCTTCGAGCCAACATCGATCCTCGGGCAATCAGGACCTGCTTACCAGGTACGCACTTGCCTTCCCTCAACACCAGCTCCACTAGATACTTAGTTCTACCCAAAGCCTGAATAAAATCCACCAGAAATCAAATCATTATCGAAAAAATAAATCTACTACCAAGTCGGCAATAAGCACTAACTATAGGTATTGTAACATTTCGTGGGGGTGTAAAATAAAGGGTTTAATGGAAATGGAATGATTGTTGCATGAATTGAAGTGGCTGGCCTGTAATCAAAGTGTCAGTGGGCTCCACCCAGTACGACCCTGACTAAATTAAATTACATGTAATCTGCTTCAGCGACCACTACACGACGCGTCATATCACCCTTTAAATACTTTACTGCTGTCCATCCCATGTTCCAACAGGCACAGAGATTTGATTAAAAATCGGACCAATTTAGTTAAAACCACGCATTTTGCTACCGTCTGAGCGACCGGCTCGGCCCGGCCCGTACTTTTTAATTTGATTATTTATATTACGGCCCGGGGCTGCTTTTTTAGCAGGCGGAAAATTGTTCATCTAATAAATTAATAATAGGGATGTAAATGGCTTTTTCTTAGCTACTTAATGCAATTTGCATAAACACCATTATTTGAGAACTAATAAATTGTTCCTATATACCCTATACCTAATACGATAATAGCCTGATACACCAAAATTTTAAATAAATTTGATTAAACAGGTAGCAAAATCATTAAAATAATAAACCATATTAATTATACGCGAGGGCAAATTGAGCAGAAATAAAATAAATTAAAACAATCATTTTAAAACGAAATTTTCTATTTAATATTATTTGTTATTAATGAAAGGGTATTCAGTACGTTGCTCTTTATTATAGCTGCACCGAACAATATCATTACTTGACTATAAATACCTAAATTAGTATAATAATATAATTAATATATTTCTCGTGTGTCATGTATCATGGACCATCCATCCATCCAAATTTCATTATGCCAGTGGAATTTTCTTTCTTTAGTTTTTTCGTTCGAATAGTAGCAGTATTGAAAATATTACCCTAAGCCATTCAATACATACGTTATGATAATCAGTATAAATCAGTTTAAAAATACTTGTCTATTGTCAGATACTTGTTTGAATCTAATGAAAGAAGAAATAAATGCTCCAGTCAAACGTGTGGTAGGTAATAAATAACGAAAAGGTTTAGAAAAGATTATGGTTTGGTAATGGGAAAACAAAAGGAGGAGGCGGAGGAGAAAAGATAGGTAAATTAAATTTGCTAATCAATCTGGGTATGGTAATTTGATGAGTTAAAACAAGCATTTTAGGTGGCTCACATCTCCGTTGTGGGTCCGTAACAGTTTGACCTCCTCCGTCCGGACGATGTTAATAATAATTGAAAGTGCCAATCACAGTAATGAACCTGCGCCAGACGGACCAACCAATTATAACAGCCCAACCAAGCTACATGTATATAGGTATGTATTGTATGTTAGGTTCAAACATAGGCTTACGTACTTTTTAAAAGCCTATCGCAGCAATTGTCGTAAAAGATAGGTACTACGAGTACCTATACTCATTTGAATAACATTATTTGGATGGTAATCAAATATTTCTGGCGATATAATTAATTCATGCTCATAGTTAAAACACACACACACACACACACACAGTCCGAACAAAATTCCGAATGTCAGTTTTATAACACGTTTCCGATTTTACGATGCAGTTTGCGTCGTGTGGATAGTGAAGAGGCTCAGCACGAAAGCCCACTTTTTACTTTTCAAGAGGACGCCTAACAGCAGGCTTCCACTACACCTCCGCTCAAATCAAATCAGCTTCGTTTAATAAAACAGACACACCGACATTATAACAAACTATTAAATTCATCTTAACTTACTAATATAATACTTTGTTAAGTATTCGTTTTTCTATAAAGAATGCCCAAGTAAATAAATTAATTTTTTTAATAAAAAATGTGGGCAAATATAGTTTATACGCTCATTTAAAAATTAAATATGATATAAATTTCGTTCAGGCAGATGTCCCACAGAGACCATTACCAAATTAAATTTTGTTTATACGTATACGTATACGTAGGTCGTTTTGACATGACTTGCTGTTAGATTTGATTTTTTATGGTCGCGTCTGATCATTCAAAGAAACTCTGCTTTTTATATAAATAATTGTATACGGTCTTATACTAACTATTAAATAATTAATACCTCCTTAACTTATAGACCGGACTCGGCACGAGCCTTCTATTAATAAAGAATTTTAAGCTTTATAGCAAATAAATGATTTTTTTATTTCATAAAAATTCAGGTTCTTAAAATAGGTATACAATAAACGAACACTGACTTAATTAGTAGTACTGTTAAATTTAAAAAAATATATTAGTAGGTATATTGTGCGACTAGTGGCAGAAAGAGAAGATTCCTCGAACGTTAAGTGGCATTGGTCGAAATGAATTTCATTGGTTTACTTTCTTTAAGGTGTGATACCTACTTAATTAAAACTTAAAGAGATGAAAAACAGTTTTGGGTCCGAGATATAATCCGGAAAATTCCACATTGTTACCCAGACAGGGTTGTCCTTAATTTTTACGATCTGGTAGCACTAATTTTTAATCACAGGCAAACTATAGTGACAGTGGTGCGAATGGTAAGAGAAAAAAATAGCGCGCTTAGAATTATTATAGTAAATACAAATATTTGCATAATTTAATAATAAGGCGTCTGCAGACGCTTTGGGGGAAGGGGTCGATCGCCAGCACTTGATTTACTAATTAACCATTATAGGTACTTCTCTTTTCTTTCTCGTATTCTCTTTCTTTACTCATGCAATTATTTTTCCATTACATTTTTATTTACCTAATTCTTGTTGTTAATTAATGAATAAATTTTAATTAAAAAATATGGGGTGATTTAATTTACTATTGTTAAGTTTTAATTACAATGCCGCAAAGTTTGCCGACAATGCAAATACAATTTTATTAGGTACGTTCTAACATGAAATATGCCAATTAGTTCCTGGTAAATTTACAATAAATTATGCTTATTTTTATTATTATGGATTAATGTATTAATTTTACAACTTGTTTGTCATGGAACGCCAAATTTTATCAAAGTGGCTATTGGTGAATAATATAATTTGGTATACCTAGGTATACAGGGTGTCCGGGAAAATGTGGGAAATCTCACGGATTCAGATAGAACATGAAAAAATAAGATGACACGTTCCTATAAATTTTTTTCCTACTGGCCATCCTTACGGAGACATGGGCCCCGAAAGGACTCCCCTGCAAATTGGTTTTCCTTGAATAACTTTTAAAGTACTAAATATAATTTAATAAAAATTTAATATGATGGATCCTGGTAAGGACCTCTTAAAATAGTGTCATTAGCTGGCCATACACAGACGTTATTTCGCGCGGTTTATCGTGGCGTGTTGGCATGTAGCGGTTTGCATGCACGAAAGAACGGCGTGGCAAAAAAAGCGTCATGTTCCATACACTTGATAAAGTATTCAAATGATTTAGCAAGTGATTGCCCGTGGTATATCAGTTTCAAAGGAAAAATCGTATGTGAGTGGGCAAAAAGTGTCATTTATCGAGTTGTTTGAAACTACATGTGCTCATGTACAAATTTTCAACGTGAAATTTTGCCAAGCAAAGGTAAACCGTGACGCGGAATGTGGCGTGTGGACACGCCACACTCCAGAGAAAAGCACGTCTGAAATCCCTTCCCGTTCTATCATTGCGCGCGGCGATACTCACTCACGTACATGATTTTCCATATGTTTTTGCAGATAACACGATAAACCGCGCGCAATAACGT